GAAAAAATAACATGTTTTCGAAAAATGTATATGTTGGGGAATTAATGACTTTTCGAAAAGTAAAAACTTTTTAGAATGTTACCGTTACACACGAATTAATTCTGTTAATTGTCCTGATTTAATTTACAAGATATAAGATTAACATGATTATTTGATTAATAAAATCGATTAAATAAATTTTGTTCAAAAAAATTATCAATAAGCCCAAGCCGACGCCGACGCCGAGCAAGCTACGACGATAGTGCGAGGGGGCACCTTCTTCATAGATATTTAAGAAGTAAAGGAAGTGTTTCCTTCTATAAGGATAACAATTTTCCTTTCTTTTGCCGATATGGGAGAAATGACTTTCATTTGCACTTTCCAAATGACTTTTCATTTTCCCTCCAAATTGGTTCTCTCACTTTCCCATATTCTCTCTTTTCTTTTCCCATTCACATTTTACTAAACTAACAATATTTTCGCAACATTAATAAATATTTTCACTAAAAGAAAATTTATTGCCAATAAATGTTTTTTTTGTTGCAGTGGCAGTGGTCGTCTAAGACAACACATCATCCCTCTTCGGACCAACAAACAGGGACCTAATATCTCTCATCTATTCTAAGGAGATGACACTATTTTGATCCTTAAGAATCAATTTCCTTGCTTGAACTGTAGAACTAGTTGGAAGGAGTTCAGTGCTTAAGTTGCAGATCAAATTCAATTCTTAATAACCGGTGGAATAAATCATAAGAGTCTCTCAGGACTGGTCATTGCGGCCCCTTTTGTGAGGAAACACCCTTCTTTCAAAGTTACTCGGATATATTGCGGAGTTCCTCAGATAGAGTTTTCTTGCACAGAGTCGTTCAAACATTTTTTTGAGAATATGGCATGTGTTAATTGAACGCTTCAGTGCCTGGTGAAGCAGCTTGTGGTGGAATTTTCACATACCAGATATGATCTCCGATTCATACGTTGGCATCTGCAATATGATATAAAAAAACTTCTTTATTCTCTCTAACGTGATAATTGACAATGCTAAAGTCAGTGTTTCAAAATCAAACATTGTTATAGAGAAGATAATTGTACAAATAACCGCCTTGTTAATTTTGGTTAATAGTATACGAGATTAGGTTCTTCCAGATAAGATCGCTATTAGTATAGTAAGTATCTGTGATTTAAAGTTTAGTTCGCTGTAATAACTGTG